GATGGTTTACAAATAGAGGGAAATCGTGAGTAATCGAAACGCCATTTTCTCGCTTTGTGAAACGAGCCGCGAAGCGCAGTTTAAACCGGATTTGACGTCATTTTTTGTTGGATGATGCCTATACGAAAATTTCAGGAGTCTTCTGCCCCGCCCCTGGTGACATAGCATGGATTCTGACTTATAGGTATGCAATGCGTGCAGATTACTATTTGACTGCTTTACGTAAACCTATCCTCAGGTGATGCTGTGGAAGCGATAATTCTGTTACGCCACTTCCTATTAAACTTCAGTCTTCAGTCTACTACTTAGACTCTTTGATCACGAGCCCATCGCCCCTGCTTTGATCGACTGCCAACGCTATGGTTTTATATGCAGATTAATAGAAACCAACAGAGTTTTGAAAAACACTCTTCGTATATGTGCACAACCCACTCAGGAAAATCTCGTTCCCAGATATTTACCTACCGTCTTAGAGAGAAAGGCCATGGAAACGAGAATCTGCGAGCCAATCAGGGTTTCTTACTGACTATTGTTTTCTTCGACAGAAATCTGCTCTACAGTTTGGACGAAAACAAAGTTCGGCCCCAGGACAGCTTGTATTGGATAGAGATGGTTAACAAGGGAAGTGGAAAGACAGACGCCAGCTGGGATTTTATCGTCAAACATTGGGAAAATATTGCAAGAAGGTGAAGAGAAAAACCAATAGTTAAATCCACCGTTGGATGTTTAACATCACACTACTTCTCTTTAGCAAGGTGTATAAACTGCGCAATGTTTTGCAAAGTATCAAACCCGAGTTGGATGGGATGGTTGGGTGGTATTAGGTTGAGGGTTCTTAGCAAATGAATTTTGATGAGGGTCTTTCTCTCTTGCATGCTACTGAAATGACAAAGGGCTTTTGAAGCAGGATATATTCCTGAAGATATGAATACAGGCATTTTTGTTTGCTGCGTGTTTACAATTAAGAGATGTTCTTGTTCTCACCTAGATATGGGGGAAGTTACAAGCTTGGCAATCTTGTTAAAGCAGTGGCTGGAAGTTTTCACACGACAGACCAGCTGAAAATGGCAAGTACATCGAACTGTTTTCTCTCTTGTTGAGGAGTTAACTTTTTTATTCAAAAGCTGCTGAGGTTTTCTGAAACTTAAGAGTACTCTTAAGCTTAAATTTCATTATTTAAAGCATGCAAGAAATGGAAATTCGTGCAAGAAACAGAAATTCGTGAAAGAAATGATTTTATAATTACATGTATTTGCGCTAGCAAAAATTAGCATGAAAGCTCAGGCCATTAACTTTTTTATCGAGCAAAAGAGTCTTTTACGAAAGCCCTAGGTTCAGGATCAACATTTAATTTTCTGATCACGTTAAGGAATTGTCCCAACTGTTACTGTCAGAAATATATAGAGAAACGAAGAAGAATTTGAAGTTTGACTGCAATAGAAAAAGGCTGGTTGTGGTCCGTCTAATAGTGTGCATCACGTTACAATGTTAGAGACTTCAACGCTCCATAGATTACATTTTGTAGCTGATCTATAAGAGTCTTTCTTCCTGGAGCCAATCTTCGGTGCGTTGCAAATGTATAAGACTCGTGAAAGATTACAATATTCTGACTTATTATACGGCTAGCTCCGTGAGCGGGCAAGGTGAACCGAATCCTGCGCTGTGATTGGCTACCCGATGGCGCTATTTTGCCCGCTCGGGATTACCCGCTGTGTCCCGATAATCGAGCCAATATCAAGCCATCTTGACCTCACGCTTGGTCAAGAAGGAGACAGGGTGGCCGAGTGGTCGAGTGGTTTAGGGCACTAGTGTTGTAATCCGGAGGTCCCGGGTTCAAGGTCTCCACCCTGCCACAAGCGGGATTTGTTTCTCGGTAGTCCCGAGTTCAAATCCTCGGTCACGCTTTGTAAATAGCCAACTGGTTTGCCTCCTGCCAGTTGGGATTTTTAACTATGTTACKTTTATTTGAAATATTTGTTTCCTTTGTTTCAGTGGCATGCCTGTAAACTAGCTAAGCTTAGTGCTTGTATAGCTAAGTGCATGAACACTATAAATAAGATTTACATTTACATTTTACATTACATTAACCCCTATATCACGGCACAATTCATCTCGGCAGGTTAAGAGACTCTTCCACTCCTTGACTCCGGGAGAAATCGCCCTCAGAGCACAAAGCAAAACCCTGGAAAACATACAGCGTAACATAGCTGGTAAACCCGCGCAACTAAAGACAAGCGAGGCCAAGATGGTCAAATGGATAAAGGAATACAATCGAAGCTCGTGAAGGGACGTGTGAGGGCTGGGCTTTAGTTTCCTTTTATGGTACGCACTCCTTGGACATGTAGCAGACCTATCAAAATGCAGCTGTGGCGAGGACCACAGCGTCTTGTCCTGTCAGGGGAGGTGTATATACATACTAACTTACGAGAGGTGCCAAGCGTTGTTTTATAGCGAATACCTTGTTTATTAAAACTCAGCGAGGACCACAAATTGGCGCCCCATTACTGAAGGTTTCTTTGTGAATGGGACCATGGCTTAGTGACCTTGCAGAGCTCCTGTTACTGGATGTACAGTAGTGTGGTACACATCATGCCTCAGTAGTGTTTCCTTGTGAGGGTTGATCTCTTGTGTATGGTCAGGACCCATGGCTGAGTGTCCCCAGCCCTACTGGACACTTCAGATCTAGTTTAGTATAGGGTTTGTATCTTGTGCCCAAAAACAGGGGCAGGGGTTGTCATTATTGTAGGACGATCGACGTCAAATTCTACGTCGTCATTAGAGAAAAAGATATTGAAGGAGGAAACACTTACAAGTGTAATAAATCAGTTTTTCTTCATTTGTAAATAAAACATATTTTTATCAATCTTTCAGTGTAGCGACAAGTTCGAGGATTGGGTATCTTTTCCTCAGGATTCAATGCTCTCTCTTCTTGCAATTTTCTCCACTTCGAAAACTTTAAGCATCAAGTCTCCTGTCTATAGCGGATATTGTAAAGATACTATTTCTTCGTGTGTCTATACAGTGTAATCTTCAGTTTGATGCTGTAAAACGAAAGCTAAGAGCATATCACATGCAGTTTGTGTAAAGGAAAAACGCATTGATTCATTCGTTCTCTCGTTCGTTTATCACCCCACTTTGTATCTCCCCAGCTGAAACGTCAGTGGAAACGTCGCTATTTACACTCCAAGGTGACTCTACCGTGAAACACGCGAACAAACGTTCATCATTTACCACGATGAACAATGACCCCATCCTTATCACGACTAAAACCGTATAGTTTGTTGTGCCCTCCACGAATTACCATCTGTGTTTTTTTCTTGTGACCATTCGTCGAGATTTACGATGAAGGTCAACAATAATCCGATCACCCACTACAACTCGTAACATACCATCGCAATCATGAGTTAAAAATGGATTGGATAAAAATGTCCCTTTATAATACGCAGGTTTATGCTAAAATCACTGATATGGAAAGACATTATTGTTTACGGGGGGTTTATTGACTGAATTGAGAGTTAAGAGCTGTAAGATAGAGGTTGTTTTATTTGTGTCATTGACCTTTAGTTTTCTAATTCAATACAGACATATATTTAATGCAGATTTATTAAACACAAATTTTCCTTTAGCTCTACCGTTGCAGCAACCTCATGACCAGTTCCATGACATCCGTCAATATTGATCAATTAATGCCAGCCGAGAGTTCGAACGGGGCGTGTCCTTCCCTTTGATGGGCTCGCTATGCACAACTACCGAGACCTAATGGTGCTATTCTTGCATGGCAAATGGACATCAATTAGCACACAGCTTGAAATATATTTTCAAACCCAATGTCCAATCACTATCTCAGTTATATCTAACTAAAGATATTTTCTCTTGCTAAATATAGATCTGAACGGAATCTTTGAAGTTGAAGGGAAGCCCTCAGCCATTGATCTCTTGTAGAGTTAATTAATCATCGACCGACTTGCAACATAAAAAAGCCATTAGAGCAAATTTAAACTGAAGTTACAGTCAGTTCGTTGTGTAACAATTTAAATTCAATCGTCCATGATGGCTTGCTCGGGGGTTCCTGTTGATACTCAAACAAAGGAGAAACAGCCTAAAAATCGAAAGAATTACAAACACCAGGGAAGTGTAACGTAAACACACTTAAAGGACGTTCGCGCAAAAATATTTTGCTATCTTTTATTGCGGTCAGTTAAGGTGTTTCCTTTGTCAGACATGTAAAAAACAGGGTCACGGACTTCTTTTCGGAGATAAACTTCACTTTACTTTTGCCATGACCCCCTGTGGGTAATAGACTGGAGGTAAGGTGGGAGCAAAAATATCCTCATTTGAAAAATTTGCGAAGGTGACAAATCATTATCTCGATGAGTCATCAAAGGCAAACTATCGTAGTCATATTTCGTGTAAGTGCGTTTGTTTCGTTAACAATTCGAAATGTGTCAATGTTTTGATCAAATGTAACCCTAAAGACACATTTGAAGCAGTTGTACAGTGGAATTCGACGGTGCGTGGGGCAAAAATTTCAAACTTGCAATTAATGGATTTCGTTTTTCATTATTTGCAAAACGCACTGGAGAACAGCAGAGAAAGTGATCTATCGGAAGAAAAATAGGGGTCAAGATCGCTAAATCCACGCCATGTTATAGCAATGGCCACTAACACTATTGTTTATTTCACTCCTTCGCGCGCGTGCTCGATTTAGGACATGCGTGTGAGTTACGTGCGCAGTAAGATTGCGCACAAATAATGAGCTACTTCACAGATTTCGCATCTTGAGAATGTTTCAACTCAAAATTTTTAAATGTTATCAGGAGAACCATTTGCACTCCGTTTCGGTCCTCCTGAGTCTTAAACATGAAGTCCTTATTAAGTTCCTTGTCAACTCTTCGAAGATTTTCTGCCCCAGCAAACTTTCGATAGCTTGACAGCTCCATTAACGAAGTTATGTAACCGGAAAGGTCTGTTTTCTTTAGCCTCGCATAATTCACCCTAGTATAGGTCTTTCCTTGAAATACCACAATATTTTTCAAAATACAGGTTAACCCTCGTGTTCAGGATGCAAATATTTTCCATGTCCTTCGTTCCTAGCACGAACTGCACGTGCCATGCAACAAACCTTCAAAAAATGAAATTTGCATAACGTACCAGTGCACCGTGATTGGTTTTTCCTGTGTTTGTAGTTAATCTGTAACCCAGTTTCCACTGGCCTCAGAAGTAAGATCGTGGTTTTAGGTTTCTTTAGTTCGAGAACTTGCTGCACTCAAACGCAAGTTGGCTTCAGGGACTTTTAATTGCTTTGTCCTATTGGTACAATGAGACTGAACAACCACTACGTCCATGCTAAAACAGTACATTGAAGAGTATTATGGTGTTTTTAGGAAAGGCCTATGAATTGTTGTCTGGGGCCCGTTTCTCGAAGGTCCCGAGAAGTTTTCGCACCCGGAAAGCCGTAGCAAACTCTCAAACCTTACGATTACAGAGCTGTTTTATTCACATGCTCTTAATATGAACAGAGGTTCTCTTCACACAAGAAGTTTCAGGCGTATACACTTCTCCGTTTTTAGATACAGATGAACTAAAAATGGCTTTACGGGCCCGAAAAGTTTCCGGGGCTTTCGAGAAACGGGCCCCAGGCCCCTGTTTGTTAACGGTTGGATAACGCTATCCACCGGATAAATCGCTATCCAGTGAACAAGTGCTAATAAAACTAACCACGCTATCATCTCTGTAGCATTATGCTGAATGCTATGCGCAACCGTCTGAACTGTTGGAAAGACCAGAACAGACGGAAACAAATTCAGGTAGTGGCAAAAGTTTTTATAAGACACGAACGGTTTAGAACATCTTAAAGGCACTCTAAAACTCTAAACCTTAAAACACACCATGTTTGATTTAATAATTACGGGATATTTTTGTTCCGATCAAAAGATCGACTGCTGTGTTGAGTTTGTTATGTAACACACCCCAACAAGAGGTTATCGAGACCTATTAACGAATTAAACATCTCGTGCATTTACTGCCTACCTTTGAACTATGCTCTCCTGGGTCGCTTATATCTTCTATCGACTTCTAAATTCTCCTAACTGTATCGATATAATATCAAGCAGTTAGGTAATGAGAATAAAGGAAGTCATCAAAAGGCACAAATTGTCTTGATCTACCAACTGTTTCTCAAAACGAACAGTATAAGGAATGTGTGAGAGTCGGTACGGAGAACTGATAAATTTTAGCTTGGAACTGCAAGTGACAATGAGGTAGGAACACCTTTAGGCTCACAGCAGGTTCATTACCACTTAATGGCAGCAATATTTTAGTGATTATGTAATAAAAATGCTGTGACGTTCTCTTAAAATGAAAGTGTGTTCACGATATTTTAAGTCAGTTATTTTTATGATGTACAAAATCAGGGGCACCCAACGACGACAGTTTCTCAAATACTTTAAAACGCGGTTTAGGCTATCGGAGTGCTTTTAAAGCTCTGTAGATTAAATTTTAGGCTGTGCTGTAAAATTTTGTCCGTTTGGTCATTTTTGGGGAACTTGAGTCTTCTTGAATTTAAAATTCACCATCTTTATTAACTTATTCTTGAATTTAGTTAAGGATTTTTTTGTCCAATTCATAGCTAACCTTTTTTCGCTTCCCAAATGACATTCATAAGTCAGAAAACAACAAGCATTAACTTTCAAATACCACGAAAGTTTGAGGTGGCCATTCACTTAAGAAAATTGGAGGGGATCAAAGGCCTTCCGCACAGTTAATTTACCGAAGCGATCCCCTGCAAAATTGGTCAGTTTTAAGGGTGCGGAAACCTCCAAATAAAATCATTTTCCCTTGAAGGTAGAAAAACACTAAATGAGAACACGGTACTGATAATGAATCGAAATGTTAAAACTATAGGGTTGTTATGTCTGAATCGATGAAGACTGAAACTGATATAAAGGGAATTGCCAGGTCAATTTTTCAGTTACATGTAATTCATTCTTTCGCTCATGAATAAAGCACACACAGACATTTATCTCAAAATACTTTTCTTTGTGAGGCCATAAGAGTTCTGTTATTTTGACAATACACAGTGTTTACTCTTAAAAAATGACTATTGCCGCGGGCTACAACTGCAAGCATACGGCTTAGCAAATCTAGATATTTCTCCGTAATCCTCAAAACTATCAGTGACGAAATTTTCTCTTTCCCTTGATCTGTACTAAGGTTCTCTAATTTTGAAAAAGCTTATTTTTGACGCACATTTGCGAAATGCATCTATTCCACTGACACGCATCTAGGCCTCTTACTATAGTTGTCCTGTTTCTTCCGTTTACTTTAATTAAAAGCATGCAATGTTTTTAAATCTGCTTGCACTCGCTTAGTCAGATACCAAGTCAACTTTCACCGCCTTTGTAAAGTAAGTGCCTTTAGTTCTTTTCTTCCTCTTCGTTACAGTCTGCTGCCATTTTGTTCCCTTTGACGACAGGATCGAGGTATCCATTTTTGATTTTATCGATCGGCGCTCCACTCCGTATTAACAGTTCCGCACATTCGAAATTCCCGCTGATGACAGCCGCTTCTAGCGGAGTGAAACCCTCAGAGCATTCCAAAGTCAAATTCGCGCCGTTCTCGATCAAAATCTGTGCGCATTCTACGAAACCCTCCGAAGCGGCTTCGTGAATCGGCAGCCTTCCGATGGAGTTCGCTTGATTCACGTTGACATTTCCCTCTCGAAGTATCTTCGCCAATTCTTCTGTGTTGTTCTCCATAACGGCAGAAAGAAGTAAAATCTCGGGGCAAAAGGACACAGCTCTTGGTTGCTTTTGGCTCTCGTCAGGGCTCGAGAAAATCGGCATTGACTGATGTCGTTTCCGCACCACTCCGTCGACGTTTCGGCGACTTCGCATGATAGCTTGTGTTAGTTCTTCACCCGAGGACAGCTTCCTCTCTCTGGTTTCTTCTGGTTTCGAGCCTTCTTCTGTCTTCGACAGCACTTCATCTGGGCAAGAAAACTTCCTCTTCTTCATCTGTCCTCTAAAAGACATTTTCCCTTTGATTACTTTCATTGCCGATCCGTTAATTATTGCTGTCTTCTGGTGTAGTTTAGTAGGATTTTTTAACGAAGGGCGCTTCCTTCAAAGTTGTGAGGAACACAGCACGTTTTTGCAGGGCGAGAATTGGCAAAGCCTAGGCGACTTATGGCAGAGCTTTTGTGTTTATGACTATATGAACTTAGTAAGAATCTCGTCACGCCCTTTGCACGAGTACTAGCAATTATGTCAAACATCTACAAGCAGCAGTCAAAACGCGATTTCAAAACCAAAACAATTGCGCAAAAGAGAATGTAACAGCGGGAGAGCGAACGACTCCATTTGAATCCCGCGAACTGACAAGTGAAATGCTCTGTAGAAAAACAAAGAGTTCCATATTGGGAAGAAGACGTCTTGTCGGCAACCCCGCCGAGATACAAACAACTCAAACATCTTACGTTTTCACAAACAAATTGTAAGAGGACAGAAAACTTTGCTAAACATTGACCAAAGATGCGATCCACCCAGCTAATTGAGTGGAATAAACAGTTGGCTTTGTTTGAATTCAACAAATTGTCGTTGCGGCTTTGTGGGTTTAGCAGCTTGTTTATTGCGTGTATTTGCGGTAACCCATTTATTCATACTCCGTGATAGACACTCATTGTTCCTTTTCAGTTTAATACCCTCAAAAGAACAACGAAGCTCACTTTCAACGCTTTAGCAGTAATTAAAGTTCAAGAATAATCTTGAAAAGTACCCCTGCTGCTGAAAAACTGGAATTGTTTTCAAGGAAAGTTAATGTGAAGAACTAAGCCAGTAGATATTCTGGAGGCCAAAAGACTAAAATAGACACGACTGTACTAGATGTTTTCATTTTTCCCTGAGGCGTAACCATGCATTAATGTCTTAACTTATGTTTTGGAGTTTTACATCTTTAGCTTTTTTACCTTTCTTCGCAACTTTGAAGAAAACATTTTAAGTTTAGCTTGTGTTAGGGCTGTTTTAAGAAAGTAATTGTCTATTAAACCCTGATGGCTAGTGCTGATAAAAAATCTGACAAAGTTCTATTTTAATAACTGCTTACGTCACCAGCTATATACAAAAACAAGAGAAATAGTTATTACACCACACTCGAGCTGACAAGCTTAAATTTGACTGCAAACTTTCCATTGTTCAAGTTTCCCTGCTACCTTTTCTCAGTGTGTGTTGTTTTTCTCGCGGTCAAGTGTTTCGAGAAGGGCACTGATACTCGTATGGTAGCTTAGGAGTAAACTTAAATTGTAAACATAAAGGTTGCGCGTGAGGCAACTTTATCTGGCGGGCAGTGTATGCGACATCGACATGCTGACACTCTCCTCCCCTACTATCTGTACTACCGGCTGCTTTATATCTACAATGGGCGACAAAAGTAGTTGAAACACTTAGAAAATAACCCTTTACGATACTACTCTATTTCAAATACATTTAACGATAATTCTCTGATACCCCCCACCTCCCACCCTCCAATGTTGTGTAGGCGGGTGGCGAGGAGAGTAAAATGTTTCCAAGACGCTCGAAAATAGAATTTTCCAGTTAAATTTCTCAACATCTCTGTCGCCCATTTTAGGTTAAAGTTTTGAATAGTTTCCAATCAAACTCTGACCTTTCCCTGCTTTTGGCATCTCAAGCAAGGCCTTTCAGCAACTCCTGATGAGATTTTGCGGCTTACGGCATTTTAGTGAATGTAGGCGGGCATTAAGGGGTGTATGGGTCGGGCTCCTTTGTGCTAATGACGTTAGATTTGTCTTCCCAGCCATTTGTTTTTAGACTTAATTGTATGATCACCGTGACTAGGTTGATTCAATTTGTCTTGTTGAGGTCCAAGCTCATTAATGTATTCGAATTTGAAGGGAGCCGCCGGGAGACTGAGTGCCAGTTTATGCCCTGAGCTTAGTTGTCGTTGGCTTTAAGTTGCTAAGGGAACAAGGGTGAAATCTACTTCCTTTCCTTGTCTTTGCTTGTTTGAGAGGTAAGAGTACAAAGGAATCGAAATCCGACAAGTATGCTGTCCTACAAAGCTTTAAAGGAAACGCAACGGCACTCCTATCTCTAGCAATACAAGGACATTGTAAACAGTGGATAAACATTGTCACTGCGATAGATCTCACGGACTTTTTATGCCGGTGAGGTGCTATTTAAAGTCGAGGGACTAACATGACTAATTTCGAAGTAAGAGGACTTGTTGCATTCGAAGGGGCATGCCTGTTAGAGAGAGGACGCTTTTAAGAAGAAGGGTCTGAAATAGAATCACTCCCAAAGGAAACAGAAGGCCCTTGCCTTGATCGTAGGCCTAGCTAGTCTCATCCAGTCGTTCAGTTAGTTGGGGCGCAGCTTGATATATGGCGATCGTAAAAAGGAGAGAGAGGCTTGGTGCAAGGAGTGAACGAATTAATGCCCGTGGTTCTCTCGCCTTCCCGCGCCGCGCATCTGTCTTATTTTTTCGCGTGCCATTTTTCGCGCTGCGCCCCAACTAACTGAACGCCTGCAAGAGGCTAAGGTCTAACAGAAAACAGTGCTTATGTTTCATGTCATCGTAAGCATCGCAAAAACGTGCTTATTTCTAGTTCTACGATCTATTTATGTCTTTCCATGTCGTCGCGAGCATTAACCATCGAATTCCACTCATTTTAGAAGCTTTTGAGAATTGATGAAAGCCATATCTAGTCTGCGCGTTGGGTGACATCTTAACTAAATTCTCAGCCATCACAGGCTGAGAACTCAAGGAGCTTATTATTAACTTTGTTTGATAATTTTGTGCGCATTTTCCGTTACAAGTTTCATCTGCTTCGAAGTGGGAAGGCATCGCACCGAAGTTTTCGGCTTCTGGCAAACATTGTAGCATACGCCTCTACAATTTAAGAATGCCTAGTTTAAAGTTAATCTTCTAAAGCTAATGGTGTTTAACTCAAGTCAAGTTAAGAACATTTTCATTGCAATTTTTTTCGCATTATCTGATGACACAGCTGGTACAACACTAAACGAGGTTCAGCGTCTTGAAAATTAAAAGGTTAGACCACTTGACGGCTTGGCAAGAGCGACTGACTGTTCTTCTCTGGGCAATCTTCTTATATTTTGAGCCAACGTACACCTTCTAGAAACAACTATCTCCCTAACTTACAAACTGTTTGTATACACTGAGTTCACTCCTTGACCAGACCCATTCTCAAGGAACAAGCAAACAACGACTGTTCAGTTGATAAATATGACAAGAGAGTTCTAAAATAGTGGCACTCGCATAAGTTCAGGTTTCTCAGCGGAGTTATCAAGCTACATGTAATGTCAACAAAATCGTTTTTGTCCATTTCTTGGCCTTGACCCTGCACGAAACACAATGATTGTTTACTCTCATGCACAGAGGAACTAACCAATAGAAACGTTTCGGTACCGAAATTTTCAAGTGTACGAGCGCAAAACAAAAGATTGTGGACGGGGGTGGATCTTCCAACATAAATCTTAGCATCTCTTTTTGCTCCTTTGATGTTTGTTACTCTTTATAACCACTTCTCTCTTAAATATGGTTTCGATTACGAGTACATAGTAAGTAAACCACTTAGGCAAACGGGTGACAAAATTAAGTAAGAGTAAGATATGGACGAACCTTGGCTTGTTGGATGACCTTTGAACATTGAAGATTGGCATGAGAAAAAATACGCATCTATCTAATTACCAAAGAGTCGAGAAGGCGGGGAGGAGGATACTTAACCCATGTTTTGGCACAGGAGTGCCATTACGGAGGGTTTGAAACCCTGAGCCTTGTCAGGATAAAGAAAACCGAAAATAGCTAATCTTAGAAGGACACTATATTCTAGACACTCTCTATTCTAGGACCATGTAGAGGATTAATTAAAGATTGGATGGAATTCTGAGAGGATAAGCACTCTCTCTTATCTTGAAAATTATCTGATGTTTAATGATCTGATGACCATTAAAACAAAGACCAGCCATTATCTCCGAACTCGGATTGCTGAATACTGTTAGACTACTGCTTAAACCACATGTAACGTCAGGAATCGTGCAACTGTACCCTGTTTAAGACAGGTTCAGACCCTGTTTACACCGGAGAACTCGTATAAAATACTCTGTTATTGGCAGCGAAGACAACAATTCATACCGTGTCGGGCTTCACCTCCCCGTCTAAGCCATGTAAGGAAATATCCCCCCGGGGCCAAAAGGAAAGTTAGTTCTCACGCCCCATAAAATTCCCCAATATATCAACATGGTCATTATTAGATAGTCGTTTGTCGCAGTGAGAATCTCAGTAGTACACATACAGCTGCAGCTAAAATGTTAAGTAACTCTTCTCNGAACTTACGTCTTTTTAATTCAAGAAGCTATCTTGATTAATTTTTTTCCGTATACATTTTTGATTGAAAACAGAAAGCAACTTCTCCTCATAATTTAGTATTAAAGAAAAGCCATGCCCAACATTACGTACGTTCCTGACATGATGATATTTTGGCGTGATTTTACTTAATGTAGACAACCTTGGGACGCCATTTAACCCGCGTTTTTGCGCGTTCTACCGATTCTTCTTATATTTTACAATAGCTGTAGCCATGGAAGATAAAAACCTCCTAAATTTAATCCAACCACAATAGTACAGTACAGTGCAGCGCAGAACAGAACACTTTGTGCAACCAGCTAGTTTTGTTATTGTTTTTAGCAGCCGGAAGTTTGTACATCGTGCTTTGTGTTAATGGGTCTTAATGGCCAAGAATGCGAAAGGGTTAGAAAACCATTTTACATCTGTCTACGGGAAAAAAACGTTTGCGCTGGTAAACTCTAAATGCCTTTCAAACCGGCAGAAAGTGTCACAAAAGTAATAAAAGAATAAGCTAAAGAAAAATGCTGAATGTGTGTCATTCCGCCTAACTCAGGGCAGTAAAGACAACGAATTGCCAGAAACGGCTAAGCAATAATGAAGAAGATAAAACTAGCGTTATGTATCGCCACCTTAAAAAGTGATCAGTCGCGATAATAAGGACATCTAGAGGATGCAAAACGCAAGCGATTTCCTGTAAATTAGATTATACGTGCTGAAAATCTTGTCTTGCACTGACGAGGAGTCGTTTAATGGAAAAACCTCTGTTCCGTTATCGTTTAATCTTGGAGAGTATTTAGTAAACACAAAACGGGTGTAGATTTTTTGTGTTAGAACACGCATTTCGCTTTTTTTTTTTTGTTGGATCGCAAATATTGACGAGAAGCCGTACATTTTGAAAATATCTTTAATTATTCACTAGATTTTTATCTTTCTTGCTTCAGTAGTAAGTAGAAAATCGTGAAATTAGAGGTACTTTATTCCTTTAGGTGATTATGCCGAATTTGAGAAGCAGATAACTTTGATTAAAATGGAATTCATGTTTCTGTCACATGTATGCCAGGGCAGTTAATATTCAATTTTAATTTAATAGAGACAATGTACCTCATTCAGTTAAAGCCACAAACGGTGTACACAGTTTGCTTACGTTTATTTCTAATACTTAACAAGAATGTCTCAAATAAAAGAGACATTTTTAAGGATAAGTTAAAATGAAAACTGGAAGGTCTGTATCACCAATAAAGATCCCTTATCCTGTCAGGACTTGGATTTTACGTGTCTAATCTCGACGTTTACAGTACTTTATATATTGTAAGCTATGAGTGATAAGGCCTCCTCCAGGAGGTCGTTCGGGTATCAAGCACTCATTATGAAACATTGAAATACATGCACCAAATGATCTAACTTTTCGTATAAACGCTGAAATGTCTGTGACCTCCTTTGCATTGGGAGCGATCCCGGGTAGCGATCAAGTACAGTCATTCAGTCAGACAGTCGGCGTGCGAAATCGCTTTACTAGATGCAGCCCGATAAAGCGACTGTTCAGCATCCCGGGGGGGGGGG